ATTTGCCATTCAACTGCAGTTTATTTTGAAATATTAATCACTAAGGGAGCATATGCATTTTGTTTTGGTTTTCTTACTCAGTTGATCTTGTTGATGATCGAAAACTATCTACATAATTCTAGGATAAAAGTAAAGCATTCTTGCTAACCTCACAAAAAGTCTAATAATATTTTCTAATTTATCAATTTTCAGGCAAAAAACAACGAATTGTCAAAGCCATGGAACGAAAAAAGAGCAGGATTTAGAAACGATCTTGCAATTTTTTATTCTATTTTTTTAGAAACGAAGACTGATCAACAACCAATTAACTGAATAAGCTCTGACTAGACCTGGAGTCATAAAGTAAGGATAAAAACTGAGACGAAATCGCTTGATAAGAGAAGGGGAAGACACGCAATTTACATTCACATAACAAAAGAAATAGGAAAACAGGGAAGCAAGAAAGAAAGGGAAAAAGTATTGTAAGGAAGAATAAAAGAAAGGATAGGAAAGGAAAGGAAGGGAAGGGAAAGGAAGGGAAAGGAAAGGAAAGGAAAGGAAAGGAATAAAAGAAGCAAGGCCAACGTAGAGATAAGACGACAAAAATTAATGAAGTTAAATAGGAAAACAACAAGGATAGAATCAATTAAGCTATGAAAGTAAACATACAACACTAACTTATCAGTGGCATCAATATYAAAGATTAGATCCATTTATCCACAATCAAAAGACAAAATAATAATTCAAAATACATCTATCTAATATGTACGTGGGAGGTCGTTGGAAACATTCCTTTTATCGGAACCGGCTTGYTTGACTTCTTGAATAAGAACTTTTACGAATTAGATTATATCTATAACAAAAACTTGTATTTCACAAACCACTGCATTTTTTTGCTAATTAAAGTCTTACTGCAATTTTGATGTTTAGTTGGATATATGTTTCGCGATAAATTGCGTGGTTCAAGGTTTTAGGTTTTGGTATAAATTTCAAAAGACCATGTACGAGACTCATTTACATATTGGGTCGTGGTCGGAATATAGTATAACTTTGTTATGAATTGGGATTGCATTTAGTTTTTCCAAACAGCTTCGTTATTATCAGCATCATTATCAACATCATTATCACCACTCATCACTTTCATCACCATCATTATCAACATCAGTTGCAATACTATCATCATGTCAACACCATCTCTACGTTCTTCAGCATCCTCACCATCAACGTTATTATTCTTCATCGACATCACTGGATAATATATGTAGAGGATATTACAGGGTGGCGCGAAGATATGAAGTTTATCTTCGAGTGGTGAAATATTTTTCACGAGTGAGCGCAGCGAAAAAGTGAAATATTTYTCAACACGAGAAGATAAACTACATATCTKCAAGCCAACGTGTAAYTTTCTTATTAATATTTAGACAAGTCCACGAAGAAAAACTACG